ATTCGATGTGTGGATTTCTTGATTGTCTAGTCCAGTGATGGCGAACCTTTTGAGCTCGGCGTGTCCGCATTTTGAAAAACCCTAACTTAACTCTGGTGCCGTGTCACATATAGAACTTTTTTTGTATTTGCAACCATAGTAAAACAAAGACTTATATTTTTGATATTTATTTTATATATTTAAATGCCATTTAACAAAGAAAATCAACCAAAAAATGAGTTTGCGTGTCACCTCTGACACGCATGTCATAGGTTCGCCATCACTGCCCTAGAGTCTTCAGAGGGAGTGGCCCTGCTGATACCTTAATTTCGGGTTTTTTTGGCCTCCAGAACTGAGAGAGTAACTGTCTTTTTAAGGGACTAACACCCACTTTTAAGACTGCGGTAATGTTACGGCGCCCACAGGAAGCACCCTGGGCACCAGTTTCTCATGGTGAGGGTCATCTTCCTTTTAGGTAGCCCTTGGTTTTTCATTACCCTTCATCTCCTGAGCAGAATAAAGATTCTTTTAAAAAAAAAAATAGGCTCTGGGTTTTTGTCCACAGCCCCGCCTTCCTGTGGCTGGTCACCCTGGATACACGTAGCTGGGAGGACAGGCACCCTCGGAGCTGGAGCTTAGTTTGAAGCATCCGTGACTGGTGTTGCTACCAGGCAGGAGCAGGTGGACATTTCAAGATCCAAGTTCAAGTTTGCCTGCAGCAGCCAAGGCCCTCGGGGCCAAGGGTCTTCAGGGGTACCTCCCCTTCGGGTTCCGGCATCCTCATGGACCTGGGCCTGGGCTGTCCTTGCCACCTGTTGCTCAGGAGATGACTTCCATGTTTGGGCTGTCACCTTTACATACATTCAAGTGAGCTGGCTAGTTTGGACAATCTAGACTAGAAACACTTTTTTTTTTTTTAAAGAAACAGACTCTTCAGACTTTTTTAAAAAAGTATATTTTATTGATTTTTTACAGAAAGGATGGGAGAGGAATAAAGAGCTAGAAACATTGATGAGAGAGAAACATCGATCAGCTGCCTCCTGCACACCCCCTACTGGGGATGTGCCCGCAACCAAGGTAGATGCCCTTGACCGGAATCGAACCTGGGACCCTTCAGTCCGTAGGCCGACGCTTTATCCACTGAGCCAAACCCATTAGGGCCAGACTTCTTAAAAAAAAATATTTTTATTGATTTCAGAGAGGAAGGAAGAGGGAGAGAGAGAGAGAGAAACATCCATGATGAGAGAGAATCATGGATTGGCTGCCTCCTGCAAGTCCCCGACTGGGGATGGAGCCCACAACCCGGGCATGTGCCCTTGACCGGAATTGAACCTGGGACCTTTCAGTTTGCAGGGCGACGATCTATCCACTGAGCCAAACTGGCTAGGGCTCTTCAGACTCTTTATCTCTACCTCAGTCACATGTCACATATGAAGGCTTGCCATTTTTAGCCTGAGCTCTGCATGCCAGCCATTTACATTGTACAGTACAGGCCAGTGCAGCTCAATCTTGGCAAAAATGGAGGAAGGACTAAATTAAACTTTGCTGGGCAACCCTGAGATTAGAAGCATCGAGTGGTTTTTCTTCTCCAGGATGAGGCAGAAGCGGGCACTGCAGGTCCAAGCTGTGTGGCCTTGAGCAGGTGTCTTGACCTCTCTGAGCTCAGGTTCCTCATCTGGAAGTCAGGGACAGCTACCCTGGACCCGAGAGGCTGCAGATGTGGAGAGAAGTCACCTGGGCTGTGGAGGGGACCGGGCCTGGGGGCTAAAGCTTTCTCCATCATACTCTTTGTGAGCTAAAAAATGGCTCAGATGGGCACCTGTTATAGAGTCAGAAGGCACTTAAAGGATTTTGACCAGCATTTAAAAATAGGAATAATAAAAAAAAGGAATAGAATAGAATAAAAACATGCAGGATAGGGTGGTAATTCGTGAAAGTATGTTGATGTGAAATGATTTCTGACTGTGCTTCAGAAAAGTTTGGAAGCCATGGTCGAGGGCCCCCCCCCTCGACCCCCCGCAGCTCCACCCCCAACCCCACCCGCTCCCGCTTCGCACACTGGATAGCAACTTGCTTTGTCCTAAAGCAAACATTTGGGGTCTGCTGGCCGCGCTGTCTTACACTCCGCCGCCTGGTGGCGCCCGTGCTCCGCCGTGAGCGGGTCCTGCGGGATCCTCTCTGTTCCAGGCGGTGATTGCCTGGTCGCCCGGTTTACCGGGACTAGAAGTCCTGACCTACGAACATAGCCCGCGGGCAAAGCGCGGCAGGAGGACTCCGGTCCAAGGGGTGTGGTCACCCTGGCATCCATTCATCCCTTCTTCATTCCGCAGACTCCTTTTAAAAAAATATTATTAATATATTTTTATTGATTGCAGAGCGGAAAAGAGAGGGAGAGAGAGTAGAAACATCAATGACTAGAATCATTGATCAGTTGCCTCCTGCACGCCCCCTACTGGGGATCCATTCCGCAACTGGGCATGTGCCCTTGAGCGGAATCGAACCAGGGACCCTTCAGTCCTCAGGTCGACGCTCTATCCACTGAGCCACACCAGCTCGGGCGGCAGGTTCTTTAAATGCCTCTGTGGGTCAGAGGAAGTCCCGCTGTCAGAGCTCACATCCCGGTGGGGAGGGCAGACAGGACCCCAAATCCACGACCTCTGCAGTACAGAGAGGCCTCCCCCGCCCGCTTGCTCTGGGCAGGACAGATGCTGTGGAATCCCTGCTCTTGGCCCCCAGCCGGCTGTGTGACCTGGGGCAGCTGGCTTAGCCTCTCTGCGCCTGTTTCCTCTGAGATAAAATGGGAACAGCAGCACCGACTTCCTAGGGTCGTCCTGAGCACTAGATGAGTTAATATTCTCTCTTTCTGTGAGTTCAGCGTCTTTAGGTTCCACTGTGAGAACACACTGCAGGAAAACAATGACTATTTTGAAAACTACCCCTCACACTTGTTTCTCTCATGCAGTTCTGGGTTTCCATCACAGTTCATTTTCCTCTATGCAAAATGAAGACCTAAATATAATACCAACCACTATAAAACTCTTAGAGAAAAACATAGGGGGAAATCCCCGCACATTGGATTTTGCAATGATTTCCTGTATATTTACATCGAAAGCACAGACAAGGGACGTAAACAGAGACAAGTGGGACAGTTCCAACTTCAAAACCTGAGGACAAAAGGACACTCTCACCAGACTCCAGACTCCAGGATGGGAGAGAAAATGTATCTGTTAAGGAGTTAATATCCAGCATCTATTACAAACTCACACAAGACAACACTGCCGGAAGCCGGTCCATCCTTGCTGCTTGACACAGTCGCTGCAGGGAAGAAACATCTGACCTGCATATGTTTCAAGGGACCTGGCGTATATGGCATACTGTTCTTAACATGTTTGCTCCTCTTCTTAGTGCTATGTGTTTTAACCAAGGTCACATCTCCGAGAAAGGTTGTTTTCCCAGGTAGGGATTTTCCCCTGAAGTTAGGGAGGGAATAGAACATCTTAAATATTT